AGGTCGTATGTCAAATGAAATGTTTCGCTCCAACGTTTGCGTATATTATAGCCATTCTATTTCCGGATAAAAACGATTTCAATGAAACAAAGTTTATAAGTGTTACTGGCATTTTCACGGAACTCAACCGAACTAACGGTTCAAAACTCACACAGTTGTTTTTCATATCCAAATACCAGCTACTCAGGATTCAAGACTAAAAGATAAATATCGAGAAGAACTGCAAAACCAGAATGTTTTTGTCCATTTAAAAATTTCCGGTTTTCATTCTAATTTTGACAATATGTCTGAATTTTTTCACATAGCATCCGGATTCTTGATTTAAATCGCAAGAACCCATGCTCCCGCCTAACGTTAAGGCGATTTTTTTTGAGATCAACAGTCTAGGGCTGGGAATTTCAGGGAAAACACTTTAACCGTTAACCGGGTAAAATCAATCGGTTAACCGGTTAACCGCCACGTGACGTTTGACGTAATTTATAATTTCAGCTTGTTACGTCACAATGCTTATAAAGCAATTTTGCGTGTTCTTATCCCGGTATCGCTTATTAAAATTATTCACCAATCAAGTTAGTTTCATGATTGCTTTGCTACAAGAGATAAGCAGCGTGGTTCGGGCGTGTGGAAGTATTTTAGAAAACCTGATTCCGTTGTTAAACGTCATTTATGTGACAAATTATCAGTGTTCGATGTGCAAATTTTACTTCGAGATACATATCATATAAAGAAAAACGGCATCAAGTGCTCACTTGTTGTATGACATTGAATATCCGATTTTGCAATAAAATCGTGAACAATATATTTCGAAATCGACCGAAAACTGATTCTGAATTCATCATTGTCAAAATTCCATAATCAGCAATCTTGGTACTTCCATTATTTTTCATATTTATTGAGTCCTTACCCACACAGTTAGTAATATTCCCTTGAATTTAATGCCACAAAAGATTAATTTGCGATGACGTAATCATATTTGAAGAAATTGTACGGTATGAAGATGATTTGTAGCTGAGATGCCAGTTAACGGTTAACATAAATCGTAACCGTTAACCATCTGAAATCGGTTAACCAGTCCCAGCCCTAATCAACACACAAAAGATGAATAGTGGCTGCAGAGATCAGCGATGGGTCACGTAGCAAGGCACACTTTATTTTCAATATGTACGATCATCGGACAACTTTAATTTTTGAAACGGTTTGCAATTTTTCGACATATAATTCAATTATGGCTTCTGCATTTAGTTGAATCGATATCTGAAATAATTTACCACTACAAAATTGACTCGTATCGATTCAATGCATTAGTCACGCATATACTCCAGAACATTAAATCTAGGTTTCTACTGCCTGACCTTGAATACCGTGAAAATTCCAAATTTATACGAACTGATATATTTCATGCAATCTAATTCACTGGATGAAGCAGACATGTTATTAAGAAAGGAAATTTAATTCTCACTAGTATGATACCATAGAGGTGATTATCCATTAAAGGAATATTTGCTTAGATTAGACTATTTTCAACGATGTTAATGTAAGACATATTAGTAGTTACGTTGTACAATGATTTAAACCGATTGGCAGCAGTGGCTCAGCATTCCGCACATTTTTTTGTTCCTCGCATTAGGAGCAATTCCTCGATATAGAATATGAACTTGTTTGTTTATTTTGTCTGGAATGCTTCACGTTTATACATTTCTGTTGTCGTCTAAGATTAAGGAGAAATATATGTATCCGATATAAAGTTCAACGATGGTCCAAGTGAAACATCGTACATTCATTGATCGTGCTTTCATATGAAATATATTTTAGCTGTGCTGAAACCGCCCATGCCTGCTTTATGTTTAATTTGTCTTTCCACTTCACAATGTGTATAATCCATGATCGAATGTAAATCCTGAAAATAGCATTGAGTCCTCAACGATCGCGTTGCTCTAATGATAAGAGCTAAATTCGATTATTATGGTGATCTATGTACCGCGAGTGTATCCGCCAATACCTTATATTATTGTTTGCTAATCTTGCTTGTTGGCGCTGTGATTCAGTTTATTCAATGGTTTATTATTGCATCGCAATTAATTTTGTACGTGACATCAGTTCTGTTAACTTTGGATTCCTGTACGTTTGCACACATAGACATTTGCACCCATGAACATTTGAACCCGCGGAAATCGGAACCCGCGGAAATCGGAACCCACGGAAATTGGAACTCATGTACATTTGCACCCGTTTATATTTACAGCCACAGCCATTGGCAACCACGTATATTTGCACAAATGAACATTTGCACCCTCGTACAATTGCACCCATTAACATTTTCACAGATAGATTTTTTTCAAAAGGTTGGGACAAGAAATTAAACAATCGCCTGAGAGTTTAACATGCCCCACACGGTATATTCGCACCTGCGTACACTTCCACCCGTGATCATTTACACCCATAGACATTGTTCTTCAGAATAAACGAGATTTTATTGCCATTGGCTACCGAGGGATGCGCATCCAAATGGTATTACTTGAATGGATGCGAACGCATTTCAAACCCATTCGCGATTTATTTGAATTTCAATCCATTAACTTAGTTTAAGCAAAATTTTAACAAGGTGAAAGACAGTTGTACACGTTGAAATTGTCAGAATGACAAATAACCAAAGACCACCTTAAACCTGATGATTGATTTATGATGAAACTGCATTTGCGGTATTTCGTTGAAAGAAAATGACCGACAAAGAAAAAGTGGATTAGAATTATAACTTGCAATGACTGTAAAAATCCTTGCAACCGTAATCAGGATTACACTCATGGAATCTGTTTTATTTCTAATATACCTATTTATAAATAAAAAAGTGAAATTTGTCTAAAAAATAAATATCTGCGAGTATGTGCGACGACATGAGTACAAACTTCTATGCGTTAAAATGCTAAAATATTACGTTGTTAAAAGAGTCTATGGGTGCAAATGTACGCGGGTGCAAATATACTTAAAAATTATATATGGGTGCTGCTGAAATCTGTGTTGAAAATGTAGAATATAGCACGCTCTAGCCATTTTTGAGACAATCGTTTTAGTCTAGAGTCTAGCAGGGAGTTAAACCGTGAATAATTTATATTATTGTTTGCTTATCTTGCTAGTTGGCGCTCAATGCTTCTTTAATTGCACCACAGATAATTTTAAAGTGACGTTAGCTGTTTTTGAGCGCTACATTGATGTACATTTGCCCCATGGACATTTGCAGGCGCCCACATTCGCACCCATGAACATTTACAGCTACAGCTATTTGCAACCACGTACAATTGCACCCATAAACCTTTTCAGGCATAGATGTTTGCACCAGGGTGGGACAAAAATAATTCATCTAATATAAGTTTAAAATGCGGAGGTTTTTTGTTTTAAACTGTATATTTGCACCTGCGTACATTTGTACCCGTTAACAATTACACCCATAGACACCATTTTTCAAAGTAAACAACGTTTCATTGGTATTGGTTGCCGAGTGACGGGCATCTTAATGGTATAACAGTGGAATGCATGCGAACGCATTGCAAACACATACGTGATTAATTTGAATTTCCATCCATTAACTCAGTTTACGCAAACTTTTGGACGGGGTGAAATACAGATGTTACAGTAGTACACGATGTAATTGTCAGAGGGCCAACCAAACACCAGACATCAACATAAGCTTGATGTACGATTTATGATGACTACCTTCGTGATACTTTGTTGAAAAAAAATGACCGACAACAACAAAGAGGAATATGATCATGACTGTAAAAACCTTGCAACCGTAACCTTAGACTTTTTGAATTTGTTATCGTTTTATTTTATTTTATTAGTATTTGCGAGTGGATGCGACGACATGGGTGCAACTTCTATGCGTTAAAATGTCTAAAATTCCACGTTGTTGCAAATGTACGTTCAAATTTTAAATGCGTACTAAAATCTGTGTTGCAAATGTAGCAATTAGCACGCTGCAGCCAGCCATTCTTGAGACAATCGTTCTTGAGTCTAGACAATCGGAAAGATAGTTTTCTACGTGATCTCGGAAGACAACCCAATTGCAAAAACGTGAAGCATGCCAGACGAAACAAAAATAAGATCATGCTTAATATGGCAGATTTGCTTTTTATGCAGTGAACAAAATGAAAAAATGCGCTTTGAAGGCGGAGTAAATTAAATTATTGTAGGATGAAATACGATAGAATTAGAAAAGGGCAAAATTCGGTGCTTGGGAAATCCCCTCTATGTTTGATGTTGCACTAGAGATAAATTTCCATTCCCTAATCATTTGCTTTGTCAAGTCAATGGCTTTATCATGAAATGTGCAGTTGAGTTTCGACTCATATCATATGTATAGATTTCCACATAATTTTACGTCAAGTCTGCTAAAAGCCACTCCTATAATGTTCTGATATATAAATATATTGCAAACTGATGAATTTTATCAGTACCGATGATTGGTGAATGAAATGAAGTAAACGCTTCATTCATATTCATTGGCTGGTGAATATCTCCATCCCTTTCAAATAAATTAAATTGCTCAAGGATATACCGGTATGTCTTCGTGTGATCTAATCCATGGAGGTGCTCTTAGAGTTGCTGTGAAAAAAAAAGACACTGTGTGAGGAGTAAAATGGTGGCCGAAAACTTGATAATCTGGTTTTGAAGTTTATTTATAACCATTGAATATAAATTAAATGGTTCCATTACATTTGAACCCACGTACATTTGAACCCATGACAATTGCACCTGTATGCTATTGCACCTATGGATTTTTTTTGTTTCACGGATAGTTAAACCCAAACTAACCCTAACCCATGGGTTTTAGCACCCGCATATAGATTGAACCCGTGGATATACACATGGGTTCAAATGTACGTGGGTTCAAATGTACGGTCACCAAATTAAATAATTAATGTTTCTCTTTTGCAAACATTCCTGAGCGGTAAAATGCCAAAGAAATGAACCATTTTTTCAATTGGATTGTTTTATCCGGAAACAGATTGACTATATTAGACTGGATTGTTGGAGTGAAACATTCCATTTCCAAACAGGCAACCTGGAAGAAGTTCTGAAGTCTAAAGGCGTCAGTTTGCAACCCAACAGATAAGAAAAGTCACTGCAAGGTAAATTTGATTTTTTTGGTTCAAAGACTCAGAGTACGGACAGTTACCCAATCTAAGTGACTTGGCAGAAAGACTTGGCGCTTGGAAATAACTTTGATGGGGGAAAACGGTTTAACGCCGATTAATGTGATAGAAGAATAAGGAATTCAATAGCTTGTTTCAGTGATTCCCAACACTAAAATATTTTAGATCATGATTAAAATATCCCGATGCACTCCGGCAATCTTGAGGCCTGCAGACATAATTTTTTCATTTTTTATGAAATCATTAATTTAAACATTGGTTATCCCCATGAAAATCGAAGAATAAGGCATGAACATATTCTGATTTTAGAAAAAAAACGAATGATTCAGGTAGATACACGTGCAGAAATATCTTTTGAAAATTTGTTGAAATAGTTTACATTTGTTTCATTGAACTCTTATATGTCCATTTTAGGTTTCCAATTTCTTCGTAGTTTCTGGAAAAATTTAAAAAATGAGCATCATTCCATCAATTCTGTGCAGGATCTCTATGATCGTCTTTATGGTTTTAATAACTGCATCGTTTATCTCCGGAGTTTGTAAGTTTTGCCTTTATTGCATACTCCATTACGTATTATAACATAACGTTGTAAAGATTTAGGAAATCCTGCTTCAATTTTTCGTTTCAAGTTCCGTAAATTTTGAATAAAATACAAATCTGAAGTCATCGTACACAGATGACAAGATATTTTACAAGTAGGAGTGAACTACAAAAATAAGAAAGATTATGAAATATTGAACTATTCTAATCTTTCTTGCGTTTATCAAACTTTTTCAGTTGGTCGTTTTAGTTCTGAAGGTGTCAGTCCAGAATCTGCGCAGACATTCCGAGGTAAATTATGAATATATATGACTCAATAGCAATTTTCGAAAACTGTATGAATCTATCCCAAACCAGGTTGCAGATAAATTGCGCTGGGAAAATACTGCAATAAACCCTGATGCATTAACAACTTGGTATGCATCTGATTTATTTTACTAATTTTCTCTCAGAACATGCAGGCAACGTCAATGATCGAGAAATGTTATTTTATAGAAAATCCTAGTTCATTGGAATTAATTTACGGATTATTCATAAATATATATTATAAACTAGTCAATATGAAAATTTGTGTTATGTCGACTGGTAAACTTGTGGAATATCCATCTTAAAGTCATATACACAAAGTAATCGAACACAAATCGTGAGTATTGAGGCAATTTTGGCCATTAATGAACGGAATTCATGCAAGAAAACACGGTTAAAACATGATTAATGACTTCGCATGATTTTTAAAAGACAATAATTTTTATTCGGCTTTAATTTGCATTTATTCTTTTTTCACATTTCTGTAGCCGTTAATTTGAATGTATATAACTTGGTTTTTCAATTGATATTATATACGGTATTTCGTCATTTAAGTAAGACATATTAGTAGTTACGTCCTAGAAAGATTCTAAATTTGAAAACAGTTAGAAATTACTCCTCTTTTGAGACATTTTTTTTTCATTTTGTTCATTGCAATATGAACAATTTCTCAATATTGAACATGAACTTTTTCATTTATTTTGTCTGGAATGCTTCGCGTTTTTACATTTGTGTTGTCTTCCAGGATCGAGTAGGAGAAATATATGCATCCGATATAAAGTTCACAATGGTCCAAGTAAAACATTGTACATAAATTACTTGTGCTTTTACATTATTTATGTATATTTTAGTCGAACTAGATTTGCCCATGTTCCCCCATTTGCCCATGTTCACGTCAAATTTGTCTGTCTACTTCGTAATGTGTATAATCCAACTTCGAAAAAATATCTTGAAAAGAGCATTGCGTCATCAAACAATAAAGTTGCTGCTAATGATGCGAGCAAAATTCGAGTATTTGAGTGATCTACGTATCGGAAGTGTAACGGCCAATAATTACTTATCGATCTTAAGATCGGTAAGTATGTTGAGAGGTATTTGTCTGTTTGTTTGTTAGATGAACGCTATATCTCACGAAAGCGAAGTTTAATCTGCTCCAAATTTTGCATGTGCATTCATCATATCTCGGACCAGAACCTATGAATTTTGGATAAATTATGTTGTATAATTGGCGAGTTATTAATTAATTAGTGATGGGTCACGGGTGTAGCTATAGAGTCATGAATAGAAACCGCAGTTTCGATCGATAAGTCTTCGGTCTCCGACCGATATTCTCGTTTATATTATTGTTCGCTTATCTTGGTATTTGGTGATATGCTACAGTTTATTCAATGGCTTATTATTGCACCACAATTGGTTTTGGACGTAACGATAGTTTCATTAACTTTGCATTCGAGTACATTTGCACCCGTGAACATTTACACCGACAGACACTATTCTTCAAAGTAAACGAAGTTATGTTTAACATTGACATCCTAATGGTATAATTTATAAATCTATATGCCATGTTAATCTTGCTTGTGTTTATCAAAACGTCTTTTTCTCAGATGAAGTACTGCACCTTGGAGGTGGGAGCCCAGAATCTGTGCAGAGGTAAATTCTATATAACGTTCAGTAACAATTCGTGAAACAAAATCTAATGGTGGCATCACAGCGAGAGGCCTCTGGATGATTGAATTCAATTATAAATTTTGTTACAGAAAACTTCAATGATCAAGAAATATTATCTTATGAAAAGACTTTGTTCCAGTGCCGGTGATAAATAAAACATATAGACGGATTCAATATATATTTAGAACACAAGATATTTTAAGGATTTATAATATGGCAATGAGTTGAAGAATGATTATCCAAATGCTTTACACACGACATCAGCGCATACAAATCATCCTGAGCATGCGGAAAATATTACTACAATACATTTGTAATCAAAGCAATAAATTAATTTAAATAATGCTACGATTTATTATTGCGTGTATAAAGCAGTTGAATTCGTAGATTATGCAGTTAGGTCGCTGGGATGGCAAACCTTTTTCAATGAATGAGTGACAAATTTATATTTTTATTGAAAAGTAGGGTGTGGCTCGTAAATATTTAGTCTATGTATGCATCTATTGTGCAAGTCTAATAATCCTTGGTTGGTATTGTGTGATTTTAATCGTCAATAATGTAGGACTTTTATCAGGACGATTTATAAAAGTCATGCGACAAAACACCAATTAGCATGCATAGTAATTACCGACGGCAATTGTTCTCAATTATTTCCAAGAGAGTTTCACATATTTTTGATTAGCTTTCAATCGCCAAGCAGTCTCTACCATTCAGGCAATATAAGTAGTTTGTAATTGCTAGATTTGTCTTTATATTTTTCGTCTCCTAAATGTCAGTATATTTTTAATTGTTTATTGATCGAAAAAAAAAACATGATGGATCACTTTGTGACCTAGTCAGGTAATACGAACGGTAGGTATTCTCAAATGCATGATTGCCTCCAGGTAAACTCATGTTGATAATAAACGAAGCACAACTCTAACACCGGTTGTGCTTCATTTATTATCAACAGGTGGTTATTCTCGTTAGTAAATATAATAAGATTAGTTCAATGAATGAGTGTTTTGAAAAAAATGTTGGCAACAAAGGATGGATCACTTTGTGACCTAGTCAGGTTATACGAACGGTGGTTATTCTCATTAGTAAATAAAATGAGATTATTTGAATAAATGAGTGTTTTGAAAAAAACGTTGGCAACTCGTTAGAAGCAACAGATTTAGATCATTATTCATAAAAAGTCACGTTTACAGGTTAAAGGGTAGTGTGCAATTTTGCACGATTACACGATTTAATCTACTGCATTCATTGCCGACACTTTATACAACAATTTTAAAAAACGTTTGATGCATTGGAATATTTGGGCGTAAATGCAAACAGACGCATAGAGCTACTCAGGCTGAATCACATCTGCAGTGAACGTGTATACTCGCCAAGACTGTAAACCCGCCGAATATTACGTGTGCTGCGAAGTTACACAGTAGGCTCGATAATATGATAACGCGATTTAAAAGCTTTATTATTCAGCAGAAATGCACAGATTGAAAATACAGACTGAGAATACGCCACACCTTAAACAGTAGTCAGACAAAGGATAGAGAATAGCATGATAATCAGGGTCACGTAAACAGTGGCGTTCGGAGCCTGATATTAATAGTCAAACCTACTTCATTTGAACCAATCCGTGGCTTTAAGAGAGCATAAACAAAACAACAAACACCGCTAACTCCGATCACGCCCTTAATGGATAACAGCTCTGGTTGTTATGGCGACATGACGTATCTGCCCTTAAATCCAGTGGGAATAAACAAAAAGTTTTTTTGATTGCGCTGTACCAAATTATGCAAACTGTAATTCATTCTAAAAGCAATGCTAGACAAGAGTCGTATTCGTGAGGCTTTACTTTTTAACTCCTATAGATGGGGTTGTAACTTAATCTTATATTCGACCAAATGTTATTAAAAAGTGATTCAAGCTGACAGTAATTGCACTGATGTTGTCCTTCTTAATGTAAGTTTATTTCGGTTTCGAACTCGGTTTAAGAAAGAACAATAGGTCGTGATTGTTCCAAATAGTGTGTGGAATTTCCGCTATATGCGGAAGCTATTCGAATGGTGATTGGGATCATATATCCATGTATATACCCAACTATAGGCACGATAACGAAAAAATCATACCAATAGCAACGATATTGCTCTAAGATAACAATGTTGATCATGACGCACTTAAGAGCGTAGACGTTTCTATATGGTTCAAAGAGAACACCAATTTTCCATATTAACTTTTTCTTTATGTATTGATCAACGAATTTGTAGGTTGCACTTTCAGGCCGTTTTCAATTTGTCCCTTCAAAACAGCTTTTAGTTAGACCATGCTCCGAACTTGAGATACGGATATTGCATATTTTTGTAACTTTGTCTCAGACAATGATATACACCCGAAATAGTATTAACATCCTTGTAACATCTGTCACAAACAAAAATTAGAAAAAAGGCACATCCCGTCGTTCATAGTGTGACGGTGTATGGATACTCATTGACTTACCAACTTACCTTTTCAATTAGACTTATTTCGATATAATGTATAATAATCATAAGTATACGTATGTTGCGAAAAGTCATTTGGCATTTCACGGCAAATCACGCCGTTTTCCAAATGTTTTATTCGAGGAACGTCGTGCTTTGTGACATAATTTATGAACTTATGAACTATATTGAAACTTACCTAATAAACACGTGAGCCAATGATTAGGGTCGATTGTTGGATATGTAACATTTGGACTATATAACTAGCTTAATCGTGGATAGATTTTAGTCGTTGCCTCGGAGATACTACTATTGCGCAGAAATCATGAAAGAATTGCCTTGCACTGATGCAACATATTATGTATAATTTCACGCGTAGATAGCGTTAAATAAAACAGTTTCAGGCTTTAAGATTATATTACTTATCGTATTACTTATTTCGATTTTCGTGTTTTGTAGCATACATAATATTTGTCTCACGTCTCACGATTTATATAATTTAGAATTAAATGTTGAAAATTCGCATGAATGGAATTATACTTCCACTTAGATTTTCGAACTTCAAGTTTGGTGGAACCTAAACGTATTGTTTTAGCCTTTGCCCGAGTGGCTTTGTGTGTGTGTGTGTGTGTGTGTGGTATGAAAGTATATGGCGCTTTAAAAAATTTAAGCCTTTTACGCCAGACAATTTAAATCAAACTTTGTATATGCCTATAATACTCTCTTGGTAGATTTCACAAAATCAACAAGAGCAGAGAAAATGCTAGGGTCGCGTAAGATAGCTTTGAGTTGAAATCAATGCCATAATCGCGGCATTTTATCTTTAATATGTGTCATTCATTTCTATATGCACGACAGTTCATTAAAAAAATGTTCTACTGTCTCTGGAACATTACAGAAATCGCAAAGTCCAATATTATAGCATCCTATTCTATGGAGGTGCTTATTCAAACGGCAATGTCCCGTCTGAAGTCGAAATAAAATTTTGTTCATCATAGTGGTGATCAAGTGGAATTCTTGATGCTGTCTTCAACTGAGGGAAAAATTGTCTTGTAATGAAGCGCTTGGTCACTGTGTATAAAATGTTGATCCCATTTATTAGCGCAGAATTGTCGAATTTGTGATTTGACTTCGTTTTGTGATTGGGATAATCTTTTGTCCACATCAACTTTCGCCACTGATACCTTTGCTATTTTGTCGACGACTTCGTTACCCGGAATACCAATATGTCCTGGAGCCCATAGTAGTGTGATTTTGCATCCTTGTAACTCAAAAAGACAAGTCTGAATATTTGAAGATTACTAATTTTATCCGAGTTAATATTTATAGATTGAGATTGGATACTTTCGATTTTTCTGATGGCAATTATTGTAATTCTGTGTGTGTGTGTGTGCTTTGTATATATTGACATTGAACGCGACGCACAATTTAATGTAAGTTAGGTCACTGGCAACCAACTATCTTTTGCAACATCTGCCAATTTGATCATTCGTAAGAAAATATTAGGTAGAACAGTAACTAGCTTGAATTTTTGTGCGTCAATATATAATAGAGGCAAGTTGATAATTCCATTAGTTGCAGGGAAATATGTGACAAATCTTGAACTCGTGATTCACACCAAATACAATGAGCGCAAGTTCGGTATTCACATTGCAACAACATCATGGATATGGCTGCAAATTGAATAATGTCTTTGATTGTGTCAGGAAGTGTATTCCCTATTTGGCCTGCGCACAAAAATTTACTTGCGTTTTCCAAATTAGCCAAGTCCTATATTTCCAACAAGTTAATACAGTTTTACTTACCTAATTTTCGTCTTGTTCACGAGAACAAGATTGCCAACTATTTCAAGGTTCAATAAAAAAAAATTGTGTTTTTGATTATTACATACCTGACAATCAAACGCACAACAAGACAGTGGCTCAAAAATCATGAAAGAAATTCATTTTCACTTCTGAAAATACTAGGTTAAGAGGAACATATTCTGATGTTTTTGAAGTTTTCTAACCTTTCAATATTATATAAACTTGCGCGACCTGATATGCCAGTTTTTCGACGCTCCCGTAGTATGTGCACCAAGATGGCGGGCACTGGAACGTAGTATGTGTACCAGGTTAGGATTAGGCCATCATTTTATTCTAATTTTTCGAGTTAGGAGTTTGGAGATTAGCTGAATGACTCACGTAGTATTAGTACCTGAAATTATGGCCTAACCCTAACCTGGTACACATACTACGTTTACGTGTCCGCCATCTTGGTTCACATACTACAGGAGTACCAGTTGTTCTCACTCACTCACTTCACTCACTCACTCAGTGACTTAAGGAAAATATTTATAGAAAGATTTTTTATTGTTCACACGTCATTCAAAATATGATATTACAATATCAATATTTACAATGCAGCATTCTACAGTTGGAAGTGAAGTGAATTATTTGTTCAACAATGGCAAATACAAATTTCTTTTATTTTGTGATTGCACTGATGATCATTACAGCTCTCGTCTTCGTGCAAGTCAATGCGGAACCTAGAGGACCTCATTCAAACGGCCGTACGTATTTAATGTTGAATTATTTGTCAAAAATATATTTTTATTCTAATATTAATATATCTCCAGTGTGTACGCCTTAAAAATTTTTTCTGAATTCCTGCAAATTTAAACATAGTTCGCAAATTTTATTATTTATTTTCAATATCTGGCATTTTTACAAAACAAATCAACATCATGAAAAATAACGAAGCGTATCCAATTTTCCTGTTTTTAATTTGTGGGGCACTGATTTCACGTTCTCGTGATTTATGATCTATTGATTAGTAATTGATTAATTAGTGATTGATTGCCATTAATTAGTAAATAAAATAGATACAGATTCTGTTAAATATTCACCACAAACTTCTGTTTTTATTTAGTTCTCGATGAAGCTAACGGATACAATTTTGATGGAGAGTAAGTTCATAATAAGTTTATTTTATATTTTTATTATTTTCAACGTTTAATTACTCCTAAAAATTAAAATATTTGTAAGCAGTTTCATGGCAATTTTTTAGATCTTTTCAACTTTGATTTTCTTCCGACGTCTTCATGCCTTATAATATGTCATGTAATCAGTTCTCATAAAATACTGAAACGAATATATCTCATTTATATTAATCAACTCCTTTTTTTCATTTCAGATTGGATTCAGATTAGAATATATTCTCATGATCCAGAAGGCGTATAAAAGTCAAAGACATTTTTTCTTTATGTAATGCCATTTTCATGTTATTATGGCTTTCTTCATATATATCATCCTGCATATTCACACGTATTCTACAAATGTTAGCGGTATGTTATTGTTTGTGTAATATCGATTGTTATCACACGTCATTCAAAAAATGTTAGTTTTCTTGTCATGTAACAAAAAATATGTATGCCAACGGAAAACGCTATTTTTAATACTAATTTTATGGTATTTGGTAGAATACGACCACGTGTGACAATCCAGCTTTTTCCGACAAGGAATACAACGCAAATTCAGGAAACAAATTTATTTGAGCGTGACAGCTATTCAGAAGTATATACAAGATAAGAAGTGTATTTGATGTACTTATTTGTTTCACCTTATTATAAATAGAAAATAAAAATATCAATGCGAGAACATATAAATGAGGTGCGATGGGCACATTTGCCATCATCTGAAATATCATGAACTATGGCAGCGGTTCCCAAACTTTTGCGGCGCCAAATCACCATGGCTCACTTACACGAGAATAAAATGCTGCTTAAAAATAAAAAATAAACTGGATTGTTAATGTGTAATTTATGTCTATTATAGTGGGTAAACATGTTGCATAAGAAATAAGAGTAAAAGGTTAATTCTTCTTTCTCATTTCTGCCTGATTTTTCCTCGAAATGCTAAATAAATTACTCATGTTCGCTAAACTAGGTTCACCAGATAAATAGTAGCTAACTGTAAACGGGTAAACTGTAGCTATTGCAGAAAATCGTGTCTATGTCTATTCTTAGGTAACAATAGACGAAAAAGTACAAGTACACCAAAAATATAAAAGTTTAATATTTCATTGATAAAAAATGATAATATATCCGTCCCTAACAGCGACTGGCAACAATGCTTTTGCAGCCTTTACCCCGTTGCATCTATTTCTACATCCCTTTTACATAAATTTAAATCACCTACTATATAACATAGAATCACACTCACTGGAGCAAGATGAATTTACTGCGGTCTAAATCATTCGATCATTCTTTCAGAGTGGTATTCCCCTCGCAAAGTTTCCTGAACTCGTGAAATATTTTGCTGTAGCGTTCTACACTCTGAAGTATATGCTTGCGAATGCATGTTTACACATACGATTTTTTTTAATTGCCTCATTTTTTAGACTTGTGGAATTATAAAAATGAAAGAAACAGAAAGCTTCTTATTAATGCAGATATTTATTGTATATATATGGCCCAGAGGGTTGAGTGTTTATGCACGAGTGCTAACTGTCAAAAAAAAAAAATTAAACAAGCGAAAATTTGCAGGCGATTACCAAAGCGTCAATAGTTGCTATGAGACACTCAACCACCTGATAAAGAAAGATGACAAAAGCTTTAAAACTATCACCTCTTCGACCGCTTTACTGCAACCCTGTTTACTCTTCTGAGCCTTCGGAAGCTCAAAAGCTGTGGTGGAGTTATCAATTATATTTTCGATCGCTAGCGTCATCGGCTACACTGTGACTTCAGCCGGAAAAATTCAACGCCGTATGGTAATGGTTAGTGGTATTGAATTGCTCGATTCATCCCCTACTAGAAACAACAAAAAAATATCGAATAAATCAGAAACATTGGACACAAAATAACGTCAGGAAATTTTGTATTCTGATAGGAAGAAAAATAACATTATAGTATTTTCTAACATAACTTTTTTATAGTATATATTTCCTCTTAAACATTGATTCTCGACATTGCATAGATTTTATTATGCTTGAGTATATTCTCCGTTCAACAAACAAAAGCGCCAAACAGTCTATGGCCAAGTTTGTGGTATAAAATACATATAACTAGATAGCTGACAGCTGAATTACCAGCTGAACGTATTAATGTTTACTTCAACTAGTGTCTGTTTGTTTCTTGTCAGCAAGCACTTTCAAAACTATTTCGCGTTCCACGAGTTCTAAATATCAGGAGATCAATTTATACTATATTGACATCAGGAAACCGAAATTTACTGCATTTTGGATGAGAATCATGAATGATTAATTAAATATTACGAAATTATCAACAATGAGTTTCGTCAAAAGCATTTTTACATTAAATTTCTAAAAGTATGGTTTTGTCCAAGTCTTTATCAAATTATTGTTTTTTCTCCAGATTATTAACTACGTTTGTCAGAATAGGTTTAAATTAATTAATTCAACTAAATACAACAAAAGGCGGCTTTAGTGTAGTTAAAGTATCCCACGTTAAAATTCATATAGTAAACGTTCCCATCGGTACGACTTACATGAATGCCTCATAATTATCCCCTGATAAATTTTCAAGTTTTAATTTTTGACTCTAAAATATATGTTCTACTTGATGTTTCCTTAATCAGATGTTTGCAGTATATTCATTGAATTAAAAAAGTCCTGGTCACTTTCACGAGGTCCAAATATCATTGCCAATTAGTATTAAGAAAACAACAAACATTCATATTTATCATGGTAAATTGTTTTATAAAACGTACACAAAGACTGTTCCAAAGTTTTTTTTTAATTATACACGATAACAAAAATTATAAAACACATCGCTGAATTATTAGTTAAATGGCACAAAATGATGAACGAAGACAAGCAAAGTTATTTGAGGTTTACCTGAATTTAAAAAATAAGTATATTAGTTGTGGCATATAATTGTAATAGATAAAATTTCAACATAATTTTTTTTATGAATACGCTTCTAATTCGATTCTCATTTTATATTCTAGACGAATAGATGACTTGGAGATCTTAATTATATGGCGTTCTTGATTTCCCTTCTCGGTTCTAAAGTCTATGATCATCAACTCATCGTGAATGTACTATTATTGGCGGAAGGAGCGTAGCCATAAATTTTCAAATGGGTAGGGAGTTTCAAAATTTACAAGTTAAACCATAACAACTAGCGGGTCCAGAAAACGTGGGTTCAAGTGTCATGAGAGTCATTTTCACATTCCTATCGGGGAAAGGAGGGTCTCTTCTGGGTTCGCCCCTGATGGGCGGGCAGTGCCAGACCGAACGATTTTTGGGTCGGTTTATCAATAGTATTCCATACTTCGATCAATGACTCCTTTTGAAATGAAAAAAAATAAATTAAAAGAAATCGCAAATGTACTTTGAGAAAACTTAAATGTAATGATCGAAACAATTTCTTACTCTTCGTCAAAATTGTCAGAGCTAAGCAAAACATCTCTATCGACAACTAAAAGAAAAGATGATGAATCAATTTTGAAAAAATCAATGTTCGTGTTATCGCATATTTTAAACAAACCTTAACAGTACTCAATGTTGTCAGTATAATAAATATAAAAACATCCAAATTGCACGAAACAATGCTTTACCTTGTGTGAAGTTGAAATTGCTTTTAAACGTTGGTAAAGCATTGGACGCAATAGTGTAAATTATGCAATTGAAACACACAAATTCCAAATAATTTGAATAAATTTTAATAAAAATAAATTATCATTTCACAAAGTTTAGTAATATATATGACTTACAGCCTGTTGGAGGTCTTGCATTGACTTGCAGGAAGGAGAGAAAAATAACAAACAGAAGCCCAATCATAAATTGAAAGAAATTTGTATTTTTCATTGTTGGATATTTGTCCATTTTAAAGTTGTCTTTGTCTGAAAAAAAAATTTCTTTGTCAATTCTGATTGTAGGAATTCTGTCAATTTATTATTAAGTTATTATTAAGTTAATTTAATATTAAGTTATTATTATATTATTGGATTGCATGAAATACAGGCTATCATTTTGCAAAATTGCCCAAAATAGAAACAAGGTATTTGAAATAAGTTACGGAAACAACTCAAGCGGTGATATATATTACACAAAAGAATATTTCGTAAAACTTTCCGTTTACTATTTCGCTTGAGACGTTGCGTAATTTTAGTAAAAGTTTAAAATTTTTAACAAATTTAAAATGTGTTATGTTAGCCTAAGTTCACCGAGTTCTAATTCAAAAACTTATCAGAAATCAAGCCCTTGCGGATTTCAAGCTTGACCTGAATCAACTGTCCCAACACTTCAAGACTTTGAATCAAACGACGATACACTACCTCATTAAAACTTCTAAACTTAGCGATATATGCACTACAACCCTATTCAGTTTTCCAGCCTTATAAAAGCACTCGACATGTAGCTATCAATTTTATTTTCTGCAGGAAGCCTTGAACGGCTGCAGAAAGATTTATACCGAAAAAATTAATGTGTTATGGAAATGGAATGAAGCAATTGCACTCGGACGTTCTTTGCATAATTCTCTTCGCAGGATTGTTTCCTGTAACGAGACTTGTGGGCAATTGAATATTAACGCCAAATTGAATACAGTATTGATCAACGCGAACGCAGATCAGTGATTTCGAAAGATTTATCGCACACTCAAGGTAAAGTATATCGTCATAAAAAAAGGGCATTATTTTAAAAATAAAATTAACACTTTTGATTCTATATTTTCCTTATAATACACCAAAATAATTAGAATTGCATAAAGTATTATGCTTGGATGCATGTTGTTTTCAGTATATACAGCAGGTGTATGTGTTATGTACAAGTAGCCATTCCTCGAGGAATAGTTATTATATTCGGGCATGTTTAAATCTGATATCATATAATGTCAAAAAATTTCAATTGACGCCATAATGGATTTGTTCAGAAGCGTCTGAGTTGTGCAATTCACTACCGCTTGGCCCTCGGTAACGCGATGGCCTAATTTTCTGGTTAAGTTTCCTCTCACTGCAGTCGATAAATGACACTGACAGAAATTGATTTATTAATACAGGCTACAACCTTATTCTATTACGAAATGGTATGTCTGTAAAAAGTCTAAACAAGAAAAATAATCTAGGGATCAGACAAAACCGTAACTTAGAAACCAAATTGTTTTTGACATTCATTTGTAGAACATAACTAAAGACACTATTATATCTCTGGCGCATTATTCGCGCCATAAAGAACAATAGCCTTTAAATTTTTTATCTTTCATTTTTCAGCTCAACGCAGGCTTTGTGATACTTTGTACGATTTGATCTTTATACAGAAATCAATACAGTATACAATTAATACAGTAAGAAACAAATTTCATAATTATGATTTATAACAAGTCGCCTTTTCGAATCTTTTCTTTTGCAACATAGAAAGAGAATTGGTGGGAGTTAAATTTAAAATTTATTCACATCACTTGTTAACTAACATTTGTCTTATTGTTGGAAATTACACCATCTGCACTTTAATGCACTGTCTTCTCCCATAGTTTAACGGAAAATATCTTATTCATTTTTTGACACTACAGCAATCGCACATTCGCATTTTTTTCACTTTCGAATAAGCAATTTTCAACGAACAACCTTGAAAATACTTTTGTTGTTATCAGTATAATTGCTTTGATTGATGTTTTTTAAAATTAAGGTTAACGATATATTCATTAACGTAAAAATTTATTCATTTAAAAACATCCGTGGGCTCTATGGAAATCGTTTTTTATTTCGAAGCTTTGCGAGATTACGTCTCCAAAATAAAAACGGCCAATCGCAATTCGGTGATCACATCTCAGTGATCTGGTAGTCAGACTACCGGTGCTGTGAAAGATTTAATGTTTTTTTTTCCTTTTGGCTTCGTGTGAATATATTTGAGCATTGGTCTTTTGTTTTTATCCCAAAACTCATTGACGAATGCAATCAAATTTATCAATCTTTCCAGTCATACCCGCACCGCATATATGAATCTGGCGTTCTCCTCGGTTTACAATGTCGTATGTGAAACTATATCAATCGTTGATGCTTTTGACAAGAAATCTAAGGCGTTATGAGGGGAATTATTACAAAAAATATTTTGGTATTTAATATTAGTTCCAAACAGACGTATTGGAACTCTGTAAGAGATTCAGTTATACTGAAGATACTTGTACATCAAATGTACACATCGCTTTGGTATTCTTCTTCTACTCATTCTTGTTGTTGTTATAAACAAAAATCGCCTTTTTCATTTTATACTTGACCAATTGCTTTGAATTTTTGGGTGCTTCAAGATTGTATTTTTTGCTAGAAGGTTATTACTTTTTAGTATTTTAAAAAAATCTATGGGTTCTGAGAGATTTTTTTTTGTGTGCGATGACTTAATCAAAATTAAAAATTGCGCACCTTGTGACAGTCCCGCGTTCGCGGGCCGGTGGTCAGTCGAAGTTGGAAAAATCTCAATAGAAAGTAGCTGTTATTGCTAAAAATCGACACGTTTAATAGCACAAAGTGACCCAAAAAACAGAACCCTGGTCGTTGAAACATTTTCTAACTTTAATGTAAAGCGTCCTGGATTGCTGAAACATTGGGTTAAAATCATGCAAAAAAATGAATGTAAGTGTTAAATAAATCTTCTTCATTTCTGTAAATATAATTAGGAAATTTATGAATTCTGTTTTTTCTTTGTATATATGATGAAAACGAATTTAATAATTCCGATTCCGAGTATGAGATGAAATCATATATTGGAATCAAATTCGAACTCCTATTAGTTAAAGAATTAGGACTGTTGCCGTTGACCAATAAATGATTTTGACAATTTATAAGTTTTAAATGTCGATGCATTTAGTACCCAGCAGTGTAACCAAATCTTTTTTTTTTGCATTGATATCAAACTAATTTGTCAATTGTAAATATGTTTAATAAATTTGGAAAACCTTTTTTTCTCAGTGTCATATTATGGGTTTTCGGGCAATAAAAGAAACATTTGATATTATCACATTTTTAGTCTGCATACTACGGAAATACCATTGAAAAAAGCAAGAAACGTCCAATTTCATTGTATATATTTGCTTCAAAATATGAAAACCAACAATAATCTAAAGCCAGAATGAATAAAGTTAGATATTATAATCAGATTTATAAGAATGGAAGAAATTTTAGTGACAAACCAAATATAAAATTTGGCTGAATTATAGTTCAGGTTTGCAATTACAATTGCAATTTGCAATTACCTGTATAGTACAGGTTTGCAATAGGTTAGTGATAATATGAAATTATATCTTCTATATAATATTCAGCTAATCTATTAATTCGATGACATAGCACGATGAAGAATAAACAAATATGAAAAAAATCGAGGTTTACTTAAAATTAAAAATGTTTATCTCACTTGTGACAAATAATTGTGATGGTAAAAGTTTTATTGCTTTATTCTGAATATGCCAATGCGATTCTTATTGTAAGAACTCTATTGTAATAATAACTTTTTAAACATTGTAAATATAAAAAGAAGTCGTAGATACGTACTTTCTGCCAACAGAGTCAGAGTTGAGACAATTATCTGCATCAGAAACTAAAATAAGAATAGTTGAATTTTCAGAAAAATTGTATTAGTAATTTTCCTGTGTAATGAGTTAATCTTCAAAATGGGTAATTAACCCACTCGGTTAATTAAATAGTATTGGTTCTAGTATTACGAGTTTGTAATACAATTCGAAGCTGTGTATGTTTTTTGTCTTCTCGCCGAGGTTGATTGAGCGCAATCTGAAATAGAGCTTTGTTGTGTGTAAAAGTTAACTCGCCTTGAAAAATCCTAGGTCCATATAGCGTTATAATAATCTATTTGGATATGTGGCACCTGCGCAAATCAGTCAAAGTTTTGCTTGAACTCTGTTTCTTCTTAGTAAACATTTAAGGTGGAATAAAAAATTATATATTATGTAACTGGCAACTGGCTATTAGTTTAAAGAAAACTTCTTTTCAAAAAAAAATCGGTCATTTATTATGTATTCATTGTACATCTAGGTTTGTTCTGGTTTTATAAAATTTGCGAAACCTGTCGTGATAAAAAAAAAACGTTTAACACATTTCTTATAACTTCAAGCTAACAGGTAATTTTGAATAAAAAAATACTGTGTTCAAGTTTCCATAAAAATATTTTGTTATTTCAAAAGATGCCGGCCAGTTGAACCATGGAAATCTTTTTTATAAAGCGTTTCTACATCCAATGAGTTAAAAAATATTTTTCCATTAGGAAGCAATTCACATATATAATGCTGGTAAAGCAGAAAAGAACTTGAGCAGTAATTCCTGTTGTTTTTTCATATCGTTCCTTTGCATTCAATAATATTTACGTTATAAAGCAGTCTCGTTGATACCGTTTTTATCTGATATTCAGAATTGTTTTGCTTTCTCCACCTGTTAAATTCAAATCAACTTTTACCCGAAATTAAGTATGGGAAGTACGCGAACACATAAAACGCAAAATAAAAATCATTTATGGCTTATGCGCGATATGGCATAAAATATGTAAATTAGGTCTAAGTTTTGAGTTTTTCGTATCTTATCCATCCGCACAAAATCAATGAATGGTTCGATGTTGAGTTTTTCTACATTCATGCACTTTCTCTACTTGACTTCGTCTGAAATTTGATTTGACATTGACAGATGGAAGAAACAAAGCAAAAACAATGTTTCAAACGAAAGCGTGATCAAAGAACATGTTTTCATTTCGAAAGGAGTTAGAATGCGATAAGAAAAATTTATGAAAATAACTGAAAATACTTTTAAATTTCCTATCCTCCATCAGCTTTATATGATTGACTACTTCAAAATGCGAGGGAATTTCACCACATTAAATAAGATATCTGAATCTACAAACTACATATAATGCTATAATATAGGAATATTTATATCATTCAGAAGACGCCTATCTTTTCGGAACCTGCCGCCTGCATTTCTACGAATATCAGAAACTTTGGGTGAGATAGAAACATATTATTTGTTATCCAGAATAAAATATAATAGGATTAAAGATATTGTCTTTACTGGACAAAAATTGGTAAAATGTTTCAAATGTTAGACCAATGCTAAACCCATTCATCGGCAGAATACCTAAATAGACTGAGCATGTTATAACCCAGAATTTTAAGAACAGAAAGTTCGCTCATATGTAATGATAAATCTGAGATATATACCAATACTTCCAGAAAATTTTCAACTCAAAAATACTGCGTAATTGAGTAATGAATAGAATGGATTGGAGAGTGAAACTTCTCGAAATATTGAATAGATGGAGCCGTTGCTAGACATGTTCATTGATTCACTGGATTGTAGTGCTTTTGGATTTTCATGGGACAAAAAGAATCACTGAATGTGTAAATTGAGAGTATTTCCAAAAT